TAGCAGACTATTAGGGCGGAATTACAGGAGACGGCGGTGACGACAGAAAAACGACAGGAAGAAGGAAATAAGTCTCAAATCCCCGTGGTCTCGGATAAACATCGCCCTCAGATACGGCGTCCAGTGAATACTTTAATGTATCTGTCCATAGCAAGGTTACTAAAGGGGGTCAGTTTGGGAACTCGAGCGACGTTTACTGAAGGAGCGCGGGCCGCTGCGGTACCTAGCGACACAGTGGCGCTGTCGTCGCCGTGAGATCGGCTCTCCGCAAAGTGGAAGAAGCACATTTAGGTGATGCCACTGGCCGCTCTTCCCGACATGAGCAATCAAACAGATCGTGTTCGGAACTAGCCTCGAACCAGGAACAGTTAGTTCCGCGCCGCCGCGGAGGGCGCTGCGGTATGGGGTCCCTCCTCGGCGGCCACGGTGTCGGCGGGTTAGCGTGCTCGCCTTTTTCGCGGAGTGGTGGTGCAGTGGTGGTGCGTTTTCCAGTGGCTGGCCTCGTGTTTTGCTTTGGTGCTGTGTCGATCACAGATGCCACCATCGTGCACGAAGGTGAGCCTTAACCCAAAGAAGAGGAAGAAGAAGGAAGAGAACACAGATTTACGGACTCCGGCGACTTGGTGGCGGCATGGTGGTGGTGGAGTACAAAAAGAGGCGGTGAGCGAGGGAATGCGGGACAACCGCTGGGAGAAACGAACGGAGCGGTCGATTTTGGGAGGGACCTCATACTTAAGCGCCATCTATCCCCGTGCGAGTGAAGCGCGCTTGGTGCGCCGAACATAATATGGCCGCCGAGTCGGACAGACAGTCGTCACCTAAATGTGTTTCTTCGACCGTGGCTCTCCCCGCGCAGCGTGGAGCGCTTCATCTGATATGCTGCAAATTCCTCGCTAGCGTGCATCGCTTTTCAAAGGATCCACTGATCTCAAAATGCAAATCCACCATTTTTTAGAAATTGCAAATTCGACAGAATTGTGCAGAGAACGTGCGTTTTCTGCGCGGTTCTCTCAACGTCACTGTAGTAACGCAATATTCAACTCAATGACTCACAGAAAGCCAGAAGCCCCCATTTTAAGCACTCTCATCAAAATTATAATGCATTCACAAATGCAATTATTTGCAAATTATTTACAAGAGTAGATATGTGAGGTCTCTATATCAGACCCCTTGAGTAAGGACAGTACTATTAAAAACCACTTTTTCAACGTTCGTCATATTTGCATAGGCCTGAGCTCATGTAAGTCAGCTTACACAGCCTTCTGTTTCCAAGTAACTTACATAGCCTGAACAACTCTTTGACCGCTGGGGCCTTTCGTTTGCTGCTCTTCGAGGCTGGTTTCAAGAGATGTGCGGGGAGATCCAAGAACAGACACGGCACAGCATCTTTCTTTTTAATGACCCTTGGCCCCTGGCCATCAAAAACGTCTGCCCATTCATGAAGTGCGAGCAATGGCGATTAATGTCGTCTAGCTAAAAATGCAAACCGTGCGCAAAAATTCTGTTCGTTCCAGGCACCATACATACTTCCGCAATGCTCCAATATACCTTTCGCTAAACTACCAAAGCATCAAAGAGGATGTTGGGAACCTAGGTACCGGCGCGCTGCCCGTGCTCACCTTCTCTATAGAAAAGATTCAAAGTAAATAACAAAAAAAAAACATCGCTGGAACACGCGCGCAAAATGCCATTTGTTTTGCTTGTTTGTTTGTTTTGCTTTTGATCAGTTTATGCAGAAGAGGCCAGGACGCACAGCGCGTGTAGCTAGGTCCCCGGCATTCCTTTTGATGCCTGACTAATTCTGCAAAAGCTTTATTCCGAATTTGGGTCAGCGCATGTGAATGAGACGCAAAACGAAGCCACGTCTCGCAGCAGTGCGGGGCTGCATGGTGCACTGTGGAAGCTTCGCTAGTCTTGACATGAAAGTAGCTCAAAGTCATTTGACCGCCAGTATTGGCGACGAGACGTTTCGGTGGCCCCCCTCCCTCTCTTGTTTCTATATGGGACGTTGCGCCTTGGATTATTGATCGACGGTGTATGTAAACGCACAGTAGTAGTTATCGCGTCAAGGTTGAGTAGAGCATTCCTTTTTATTTTTATTAACGAAAGTATAATTCATCGTACTCATGACATTCAGTGTTGTGCTAAACGTGGTAGGCCTACCACTGCGACGTTTTTGGTCGTGCACGTAGCTCTATTTACAGCCTCTGAACCCACAGCAATCCATGGCCTGCATTGACGTCATTACCACTATCAATTTAGAGGCCTTGCTGCTTAGCGCGTGTGTTCTGTAGCATTCATTTCGCAGACCAGAAATGTTTCTTTTTTTCGGCAAGAAAAAGAAGAAATGACAACCAGCCCGGTGTAATGACATCACACGCAAGCCACGTTTAATAAGACTAGGGTCACTGAATCTAAATAGGACGCTAGAAACACTGATATCTCGGGAGAGTATCCCGCCACGAAAGTCACCAATAAAAAAAACGTAAACGACAAAAGCAGACATCAGGGCGCCGTGTCAGGAGCTAGATCATTGGGGAAAGGATTATTTTGGTATGCGTCGGAGAGCTCTTGTACTTAAAGCGTTGCTGGAAAAGCGTCTGACAAACTAAGTGTTTTACGACGTCACTAATGTACGTGACCTCCCTGGCAAGAAATGTGTGTCTAATTTTGGTTTTCTCTTAACTTTTTATGAAAAATGCAATGACGGCAAAAAGTTGTTTGTCTTCTTTGGGTTCTCGATTTGACGTCAGGCAGCGCTGCTCATGTTTGAACAGTAAAAATATGGCCAAAACGTCTTTGCGATGAAAAAAAGAAAGGGGGAGGAGGGAGGAGGAGGACTTGTGACGCTCGTTTGCCATTTTGTCTTTGAACTTTGGGGATATCTTTCTTTGTCATTTGCACGATTCCGATGCCGCCTCAAAAATAAAGTGCAACATTCCTTTTTTTCCTTTACTTTCATATTTTCCAATTATTTCTCAATGAACGGCTCCAATAAAATTAGGCTAAACCGCATTTTGGTTAGGCAAGCCAAACAATGGCTTGCCTAACCAAACTTACATTCCGAGTCCGTTTGGGATTTTGACGTCTTAGGGGTATTAAGAATACCGCTCAGGTGAATCTGCAGACACCTGTAACAGCTGAATCCTAGCTTAGTCTATGAACCTTCTTTCGTAGGCAAACAGGTGGTTTTCACAGTATTTTTATTTTTTTTAATTTTACTCAAACTAGAAGACACAGACTTACATTTTACTCATTTTAAACACTGAGAGCCTTAATCCTGGCATTATCTAGTAGAACCGCCTCATCTAATAACGGACAAAACTTAGAAATAACTACTCCGATGTCTACTATAAATTACCTCATCAAAAAGTAATTATATATAGATGTAGGGAAAAAATTACACTAGCTTCATGCGGCAAGAATATAGTTAAATCACATTACAAGTTACCCCAGCAGAAGGATCGACACATATATTTAAATTAGCCTTCCGAATGTAACGACGTTACCTTACATTACTTGTTTATGTCTTATGCAATGAGAGAGCAAGGAATGTGACCTTGTTAGAGATAAATTTATTTATTTCTTATGTACTTGAAAATATATTATTCCTTTAGATAAATGCTCTATCTTTTCTGGAAGGGGGGGGGGGGGGGCACTTTATACCTACACACAATCACAAACCGCGCAATATTCGCTTTACCCACATAAAATTACAGTGGCACAGGTGCCAATGGATAACCACATGCAACGTAAATTTGGTAAACCACAGGCGTCTCACAATCGGCAATAGAAGACGCATTAAATTAAGTACTAAACCAGCTCATGCAAAAAAAAATATATTCCAAGGTACCCGGCATGACCTTTGAGATTTTATTTAAGGACAGGTCAATGCAATAAAAACTGACGAGTATCGAATTACACTACCGGCCTCCTAGGCTGGCCCTGAGTCAAGTCATTGCCGTAGGGAATGCATACACATCAAGCAGGACCCATTGCCAATTCTACAAAAACTGGTTTAGTTACACGAGAAGCCCCAGGAACAAATCTATTTGCGTTCCTCGTCCACAACAGTTGGTGAAGTTTCTCGACTCGCCAATGGTTCCTCACTTACGGGAACTGTAATCGTTGGAGTGTTGTCCCAAGGAACCCGCTCTGAGAGACCAACGACACCATCCATCCTTACGACGTTCACACCCGTGGACCGCCTTGCGAAATTTTCGGAGTTTACTTTGCCAGGAATTTGATTCAAAGAGCTTGACCTGCCAGTTTTCTTCTCGTCGACCTTTGCCTCAACTAGCAATGGTGCTGCAAGCTGCGATGGCTGCCGCTCGACTGCGTTCTCCAAAATACTCCAGCTATCTGAAGGCACCAAAGACAGGGAAAGTGCACCGCCTTCTGCAGACGTAATAATGTTCTCTGGAGATGGCGGACGGATGCCTTGTCGGTTCGAAGCCTTTTCCATGACACTCATTATGGGCACAGGATGCTCTTGGCTCAAGAAAAGCTCGCCCCCTTCTGAGTTATCGAGGATCGGTTTTGATGACTCCGTACAAGAAAGGCTATGATCGACCAGGCTGCCTTTCAACGCTCCTTCATTGACTTCGCAAAGCAACGGAAGCGCCTTGTCGGCGCCACAAAAGTCGCCCTCCGAAGGAATCAGACGCAAGCCACCAGACCCCTCGTCAGTGCAGGCCAAGACCACGCTTCGAGAAAGAAAGCTCAATTCTTTACTGTCATCGCTTTGCTTAGCGTTTATATCCGAACACGTCGACTTTAAAGCACATTCGTCAGCTCCTTTGCTTTTTCCACCAGATTTTAAAGTAGCCTGGTCCGAGACGCCTATCTCGGTACCGAGGCCAGGAAGGCTGACGTTCGTCTTCGAAGGTAGCTTTGAAACACCATCAGATGGCCTCTCGCCACGTGGTCCGTAGCAGCGGCAGGCTGGAACGGATCCGTCAGAGTCGTCGACGGGTCTGCCGAGTCCTGAGGACAGCTCATCACGGCTTGCACTCCGCTGACAGGAGCAGCTCTCCCACGCTCCTGCTGGGGCGGGTTTCGGTATCGTGAGAAACGACTCGTTGGCGGTCGATGTCAACTTGGACGTGGATGTTGAAGTGTCCTGCAACGTCAGGGAGCCCTGGATAGAAGAGTCTTCGTACTCGTGGCCCCCACCTCCAACCCCGCTTCCACCATGTCCAGCTACCAGGACAGGGGGCGCCACTGGAGCGGGTTCAGCTACAGCGACTTCGTCGATGGCGTCCTCGGCCGGGTTGACTACGTTCTCGACGGTCACGTGGATGCCCATGCAGTACCTTCTGCAATAAAATGCCGCAGAGAATGGCCAGACACAATACTATTTATAATACGGCATCCCCAGTGGGCCCGCGAGAAAATCGAGTAACCAAATGAAATACCGCATTTCCACTCCCATGACTGCTTAGTGATCTTCCTACCGTTCTTCACGATTATGCATTAAGACTGGTTTGCTATCGATATTTTTGCCTAAGGCAGGGAGATTATATACGGCTTTAGTAAGAACTTGATATTTTAAAGGAGCTGCAGAAGCGAAGGCCCAATTATTACGATTTTACGCACACATTTTCGGGTCCCTCAAGAGAACTTTTCCCGCCGGCCCGGGAAAAACGATGGACATAATCCCATTTTAAAACTGAACGACGTGCGATGTCTGATGCTTAAAGCCTGAGAAACACTGTAACTGGTAACATTTTAACATTATTGGATAGTTAAACAATAGGACAAAAACGTTTAGTTTTGTGAAGTGCCTCGTGTGCGACCACGATTCCGAGTTTAGTGAAAGACGCCGCGAGCGTGGCAGAAATTATCATAATTAGCATTGCATAGAACCGGGATGGAGAAACTATTTGTCAACGTGTATTGAACTACAAAATGTTTCTACAGAAGGCTTTTTACTAACAAATTTGATAAACGTTTCAAAGAATATTTAAGTGCTAAATATAAATAGAACAAAAGGTATTTGATAACCATGCCATACTTCTTAAATAAATTTTTTTTTATACTTTTACATCGACGACTGAAATTTAATTCCTAATGAAAAAAAAAGAGAAGCCCGCGCTTAAGTAAGGGGTGCAGCTTCTCTGCTACAACGATCAGCTGCAGAAAATAGCAACTTTACACATAAAGCGCATACAGCGCATAGGAGACACAAGAAGTAGAAAATTATGACACAGTTTATTTCCGGTGCATAGACGCAGTGTAGGCTTATGGGCAAAGATTTATAACCCTTCTACTAACCCCGACCAAGCGACAGGCCACTTTATTATCCAAAATTAGAAACAACCCTGAAGAATAAGGAAATTGCAGTCTCCTACGCCCTCATTATCCACTGCTTATTTCTTATTTTATGTTTCCTGTGCCCAAACCATGGCAAGACTACTAATATTGAGATAGAAATGACATGGAAAAAACGAGAACCAAGAACTATAGCTAATTGTACTTCGATCTGAAATGCGCAATTTTCAGTATCTAAATACAAGACACAATTAAGTGCATCTGATATTCTGAAAATATAAAAGTGTGTTGTACCTTAAGAACATATTTCAAATACATATGTTTCAAGAATCGACTATCCCCGATATATATAACCAAGGCCGGGTTTGAGGAAATAAACGCACTTATTTTTCTCCTCCTCGTCTTCTCAAAAATGTATTTTCCATAAACATGCGTTCATTTATCGTTGCACTACACTTATTTCATAAGAGTACATTGGCAAACAGTTTTAACCCGGTGGCCGTAACAGTTGTTCGGGGCGGTTCAGGTTATACTGTCACAGCTCCACGCGGAAAACAATGTCATTGTATTTGAGCGTGAGCAAAAGCCATAAGTCAGCTAGTGCAACAAGCGTGCCTTCGAACGGACCCCTGGCGTTGAGACTTGCTTTTCTGGCGCGAGCGCTCGTTCTGCGGAATAACGTTTCAAAATCACGACCTCGTGCTCTCGTGCTTGTAGCATGGGCTGTAGTCTCCGCTTCAATATGAACGAAGTATAGGGAGTATTCGCTGGCGGCCATAGCTGTGTGCGCGAATGCTGAGCGCGTGCTGATGGCGAGCTTCCACAGTTCTTTTGCAGCGTGCATTCCGCACCATCAAGAGTGCCGGTCTTTGCAACCTATTAGTGGGAGCTCGTTCTGAGCATGCGCTCTAAACAGCACCCACAAATATGGCGTCTAGTGAATACTTCCTATAGACGCTTTACACACGCGCCAGATTGAGCCGCCATAGCCGCCCTTCTCTTGTCTTACCGAGATGCCGAGCTACTAAAGCGGGCGTTGACGGGTCTTCACAAGGGCCTATGCTGGGCACAAGAACACAGTAGCATCTAAAATGGCAATAACCTGTCCTGCTGTGGTAATGATGAAGTGAAGCGAACGGAATAAGAGGGAACAAAAACTGAAGGTCAGTTATGGCGGCGCCCATGCACAGCTGCTGCAAAGCGTTTATAGGTGGTATCATGCATAGCCTCCTGTATACTCACAAAGCCGGGCAGTTCGACGACGGAGCCATAGAGCGCACAGTCGCAGATTTGGAACGCGAGGATCTGGTAGCACAGATCCTTTCTTGGGCAGTCTGGCATTCAGCGCACAGCTTATGCAGCGGAGAGGACCCGAAACATGGTTTTCAAACCCGACAAGAAAAGAAGCAGTTGCCCGAGGAAGGCGAGAAGCACGAGCGGACATTCCATCGCTCGGGACAAGTGTGTTTCGGTGTCTCGTCGCATCGGGGCGCCCGTTACATGACTCTTGTCTGCCGCTCTACCGCTCTACGAGTATAGAGGAGGCGATGGTGTTATTCACTCGCTGCCATAGTTGAGCCCGCTGTCACAGAGCGCGAGCTCACGATGAGATTCTACAATGCTTGCGTGACGTGCAGCTCACACCACCTAGATTGTAAGTCCCTTTGAAGGTACTTTGATGATTAGTGGGGTATCGCTTCCAGCATGCGCTGTTAACGCTGCGCTCAAGTATGGCGCCCAGTGAATACCACCTATAACTTGGACTCGGTAGGACACAGAATATCACATTGTACGAATCGACGCGTCTTCCTCATTTGAAGGCCCCTTTCAACAACCTTCGACTGAAGCATCAGAGAAGCCAAGATTCATTGTGACCATCGAAATGAGTCAAATTACGCGAAGCGTGTCAAGGCCTATCCTAGGTCCAAAAATGCTTCAAACCTCAGAATCTGTAGATGGAAAATGAAGAGAAGGACACAGTGGAGGATCTGCATAGGCTTGTTGCTGAAGTAGAGGCTGGACAGCACCCGGGTGCAGTCGACCAGCAGGAACCACATGTGGAAGGCCATGTCCAGCACCCACACCGCGATCTCCAGCAGGACACCGGACCCGGGCCTGCGATTGATTGTGCAACAAAATGGCATCCGGTCACCGGGCTCTCGGAACGCCGAGGGTCTATGCGTGGAAATGTTAAAGCCGCTGTCGCACTGCTCGTACACATCATGCAGACAAGACGACAGAGTGGTCTGTAAACACGGCTTGAACATATTCAAAATATCTTTGGTCTATACAAATTTATAGACCAACTACGGTCTGTACATCGTAGTACAAGAAAGAAGCGCGCCTCAGACCATGTCAGCAGTGTGTCTTTTGTATGACGTGTTATCAGTGAGGCCGCGGCATTGTACATCACACTGAAGACAGTCTCGAGTCACTGTCTGTGGCGTGTTTGTTAATTCTACGACGGTACTGCAGTATTTATCTTAAACAAACTGTCTGCCTACGTGTTCGGAGCGTATATAAGCGTGAAGCAAGCATGCATCGCACAAGCTTAAAATGTGTACGCAGTGTTCACTGTGCCTCTCGGCAGATGGCGCCACATGTAGATAGCGTCGCTAGCTCGGTTATCTGCGAACGTGCCCAGCGTTGACATTGGCAAGTTTATTGCTGCCCTTTTTTTTCTTTTTTTTTTTTTATACGGGTAGATAACTGCGCCTCGAAATTTCACGCTGTGAAACTGATCTAAACTGATCTGCTCAGTGCACATTCGGTGAAAGTCTGACCTTTCTCTCGGAAGGCATCAATTCTTCCTGCACTCTCAAGAAAAAAGGGTGTCAAAAGGTGTATTCTTACACCCTTTGTCCCATATAATACACCCCAGAATTTCAATTCGACGTACAGTGCCCTACAGTCGAACAGAGGGCCCAAAACTTTACGAGGGGCTTGATAGCGGTGTGGTACAACATTTTAAATAGCTAAAGTACGCATCAAAGACCACAGAAAGAAAACAGCGAGTTTTTACAGTAGGACCAAGAAAACCCGTATTATTTCTTTCGTGTTCAGTAAAACGTACATTAGCTATTTTAATAAGTTGTACCACACGGCTACCAAGTCCTTCGTAAAATTTCGGGCCGTCTGTTCGACTGTAGGGCGCTGTATGTCGAATGAAGTTTGGGGGTGTATTATATGGGACAAAGGGTGTAAGAATACCCTATGCAACGAAATCTCAAGAACCGGGTGGAGAAAGAGTGAGCTTTGATCACTCTCTCACTCCCTCACTCAACCGACACTAACTATATTTTGTCGTTCTAAACACGTCGAGCTGTACAAACAGAGTATACGGCGCCTTAATACCTAGAGGTTTGTCTTAGGAAGGTGACATCAGATCAGTTAGCATCGAGAAGCTTCTTTTTCATCTTTGCTCTGAAGCGCGCAAAAGAGCTCGTTTCTTCCCTAGCACTGTGCTTTAATATGCACTGCAGTGCCATTTGGTTTACCGCTGTTTGGTTGGATTTTGTCTGCGGGAATAATCGGCTGTGTGCGTCTTTTTTATCACTTCGTGCGTGGTAAGGCAATGCCTCTGTACGAAGCGCTTGTGTGTGGAACAGTTCGTTGATCACTGCAGGACGGCATTCACCAGTAACATCATTCGCAAGAATCTACTAGAAGTATTTCTTCTCGTCTACTCATTTCATCAGGTTTCTCTTCGCTCGCTGGCAGAGCGACTGTTGGACTAACCGAGAAAAAGAAAGTCACTAGTTGTGGCTGGGGAGCTATGTTGCGCTTTTTGCACTCCCAGGAGACTAGGGAGAGGGAAGTGACGTCAACGACACAGCAAACGTAGATTGGATGTTGATTTTGTTTTCTTCTGTCAACATCCAATCTGCGTTTGCTGTGTCGTTGACGTCACTTCCCTCTCCCTAGTCTCCTGGGAGTGCAAAAAGCGCAACATAGCCCCCCTGTTTACTCCAGCGTACCGAGCGTATGGTTTTTGTGTTTTCACAATGCCCCTCTTTAGTGTAATGGTGATTAGTGCCGACTGGATTTGCAAGCGTTTCGCGTTGTGTGGGGAAAGGCTGTACTGAAATATTTTAGAAATTCCGACCGACGCATTGTAGTTTTTTCGTTATCTGCATGCCATAAGTAATCGACCTGTCCTTGCCACCTTGTCTTGCCACGACACACTCGGACCCGTGCACTCACCGCAGGCGCACCATGTGGAAGTGTAGCAGCAGGCACTTCTGGATGACGCTGGTCACCTGATCCACCGAGGTTAGGCCCATGTAGACCGATTGCGTGATGACCATGAGGGCGCCCACGGCACATCCCAGATGGAAGCCCTCGTCCATCAGGCTAAGCATCAGGTCCATTGACCCCTTGTGGCCTCATGGACCGGGCCGGTCCATGAGCGTCATGGACACAGCACTGCCGAGCCCAATGAGGCCGGGCCTGCGGTGAAGCCGACAGTCTTCTTCCTCTACTTCCTCTTCTGCCACAGCGAGACGGACTTTTTTTTTTCTTTTATAAAAATTTATTATTTTATAACTTTTGTTTTTCATAAATCGTGCTCTTTTATTTTCTTCATACGTTGTCTCTGGCTAGACCTTAAAATGGTAGTTTCACAAAACTTGTGTGTGCCCAAACCAAACAGCCACTCCTCTTACGACGGTATTTCAGTAAATATTAGCACAAAGCGTAATACATTAGTTTTATGTCCTGTCCGTAGGTGTATCGACACACGTGTCAGTAGGTGTATCGACACATATGTGCCCCACTAGACTGAGGGGGGCACATTTTTAAAAGCACCTGACGTCACGTAGCGTCATGCTATCATGTGACGCAGTAGCGTCATATGACACTGTAGCGTGGTGTGAGGTCACCACGTCGCCTCGTGACATCACGCAGCACTACACACGCGCCTAGCAAGTGCCCTGCTGCTCAATTAATCAATTGGGTTGTGTGTATGTTTATACAGACTAGACCTTGGTCTGCCTCAACGGGCGACGAATCTCCAAGCTGCAGATGAGCAATTTAGCGAGTGCAGTGCAACCGCTAGCCTGGGGTCTTTAACGTGCATCACGCAGTAGTGATACGCGACCGCACACCGATACGATGCTCATCCAGATTAAAACGGGCAGAGGTGGGGATTGAACCCATGATTCCTGGGTTCTGCAGCGCGAGCTTTTTCTTCACGTGCTCCAAGCTGGTGTGCGCTAGAGCCACTAAATGGGCTACGCTTAGAGTATCGGCACTCCGTTCCCCGACATTGTTGTGGGCGCCGCCATTTTGGCTCGTATGCAGAGCAGAGGCAACTGCCGATCGTCATGATTCAAAAGTGCGACTTCCTCGGCATTCGGTTCGGTGTTAGAAAGGGAGCGCGTGCACGCACGTGCCGAGAGCGGACGCATGTTCTATGGGCTCCGCAGAAAATCGTTCTTTTTCTTGGAAAATTCCTTTTCTGTGCGGTGAAAAGTGTTGGAGAAGACAGAGCTAACGTTCCGGTTTCGCTCGATACCACTTTCATGCCGGTGAGCCGAATCTTTCTCATTTCAAGGACATTGTCACGATTCTGGCCCACGGAGGGCCTGTTAACACTCGTTAAGCTTCGCGCCGCAGGGCGCGCCGCACCGAGCTCCTCGGAGCGGCCGCCTAGCTAGGCCTATCGCGTGGCGGTCGCCGTCCTGGTGGGGGCTGAAGGCTGGAGGATGGATACAAGGACCCAAGACACTCCAAGTACCGGTCGAGTGATCGGCTATAACCCAGACGAGGTGGCGCATGGATTTATCAACCCGGCGCAGCGGCCACTCCGGGATGATGGAATCAAGGATGCCACCTTGGGGGACCAGGAGGACGGAGGACCCGGCAACGGCTGGGTGCAAGTACTGATGCAGAAGAAAAAGAGCAAGAGGGAAACACAAGGCCTCGAGAAACAAGTTCGAAATGAAGCCGGGGGAACAACGGCGGAGAATTTCAAGTCGAGGAAAACTCTGAGGTTGCCCAGTCTCAGAGTCTACAAGCACAAGGTCATTATCAAACCTCATCGGGTCGCGGTGGACCTGAAGCGGTACAGGAGCCTGATCGGGGAAGCGGTCCAGAGCTCCCTGCCGAGAGGATTGGACGAGAAGACGGTCGTAAGGCTGCTGGAAGCACAGAATATAATCATGGTTTGTACGGACGAATGGAGCGAAGCGGAAGCCGTCGCAGGTATCAAGAAACTGAATTTTCCTGTCGGCGTGCTAGACGTCGAAGCGTATCATGTCTCCCCGAGCGAAGATGCGTGCCGCGGCGTCATACACGGTGTCCGGCTTGACCTGACTAACGAACAGATTCGACAGAAAACCAGAGCTGTGGGATACGAAGTTCTAGAAGCAAGGAGGCTAGGGAAGTCACAGTCTGCGGTAATCGTATTTGCGGGGAAGAAGGTACCGTTCACGGTGAGCTTCAATTGGCTTGAGACTCCCTGCTTTATCTATAAGAAGACTAGGGCGGCTTGTCTGAACTGTGGTGAAGTGGGCCATCGGACCGACGTATGCAGCAAGCCGGAAATATTTGCGTGCTCGGCGTGCAGGGCCACTGAGGTCGGTGAGGACCATGAGTGTGTGCCGAAGTGTGCCTTGTGCGGGGGGGCCCACAAGACCTACGACAGACACTGCCCGGAGAAGTTCTACAAGGAGACTAAAAGCAGGGAGCCTAGACGGAGTCGGGGGAGACGTCGCGACGGCGCGCAGCACATGCGGTGGCTTTCGAGAGAGTCGGGACGGAGCGTGTCAGACTCGCGCACCCGCTCGCGCAGCCGGTCCGCCAGCTGTGGGAGAAGCGCGTCTCGAGATATGACTACATCCAAGCGGCGCCCGCAAAAGGACAAGCGAAAAAAGAGCAAGCGAAGCACCTCTATGGAAGGGATCTTCACTGATCCAGGCAATCGCAAGAAGTGGCCGGAACTCCAAAGGGTCGGGGATCAGGAGTCGAGGAGCACGTCCCAGCCCAAAGGTGGAGGGGCGAGCAGCAACGGAGCGATACAAGACCTGCGGAGGAACGTGACCCACTGCAAAAAGACCATAGAGGAACTTTGGAACAAAAGAGAAAGAACCGGGGGAGTCTCGGCAGAGCAAGTACAAGCGATCGTGGAGACGACCGTTCAGCGGGCGATCCAGGGACTTCAAGAATTCTTCACCAGCCAACTGATGCAGCTGACATGCAGGGTCACCGAGCTGGAGAAATTAGGAAAGACTCTTGAGCAAAACCAAGAGAGCCTCTTCAGGCAGTTCGTCTCGAAGCGGAGAAAAACGGGCGAGCCTCTACGGGACGCAGAAATTTCGGACGCAGAATCATGCGCAAGTCAGCGAAGCCAAGTTTGAAAGTGTGGCAGTGGAACTGCAGGGGGATGGGTCGGAAACAGGCGAGCCTTAGCCTGAGGGTGTCGCTTGAACCCAATCCCCCGGCGGTGATACTGCTGCAGGAGCCGGGCAAGAAACCAGTGAAGATCAAAGACTATGCTACAATTGAGGGCGACCAATACGTCGCGACGCTTGTGCACAAGACCTACGCAGCCACGAGACTAGACTTGGATGGCTGTGAGGTGTCGTGCTGTCACATTGTGATCATCCCAGTGAAAAAAGGGGATCGGGGTGTACATGTGGTGAACGTGTATGGAAATCCAAAGAACCATAAGACGGACTACAGGCGGCTCATCGCGAAGGTGGTCAAGGAGGCGGGGAAGGACCCTGTGGTTATTGCGGGAGACTTCAACGCCCCTCACCCGGGATGGGGTTAAAAGTACGTTTCTCCGAAAGGCAGAAGGCTGGCGGAAAGCATCAACCAGGAACGCCTAACATTGCTTACCGAGGTTGATCAGCCAACCAGGACGGGCACGAGCTCATGCAGAGACACCTGTCCGGACCTGACGCTTGTCAAGAACGTGGCGAACGCTGAGTGGACTAACCTCATGGAGCGACTCGGTAGCGATCATTGTATCCTCGAAACGACTATTCACGAGTCCGGATTTCACAAGAAAGACGGGAAAGGCAAGGATAACGGATTGGGACCGATGGCGAAAACAGAGAGGGAAAGGTGCAGCTAGCATCGAGAACATCGAGGATTGGTCTTCGGAGGTGATCGCCAGTGTCAAGCCGTTCGTGGCTGAAGTTGAACTCTCAGAGAAGACCCCAGCAGTGGACACGCGTCTGCTTCATCTTTGGGAAGCACGACGCGGGCTGAACAGGAGATGGAAGAAACAGCGCTACAACAAGAATCTGAGGAAGAGGATTCAAGCACTCACAAAGCTGGCCGAGGACTGTGCGGTGGACTTGGCTAGGAAGAACTGGTATGGCCTGTGTGACTCTATACGGGGAAGCCTAGGCACGGGTCAGGCATGGAGGATGCTTAGGGCCTTAATCGATCCGAGTAGGGCAAAGGCGGTGACGGGTGGCCGTTTAGCGGAACTGATACATAAGTTACCCGGGGACCGCAAGCAGATCATGGATCGGCTGGCGGAAAGGTATTTGTGTTTGGAATCCACAGGAGAAATCGTGGAGTATGAAGGGCAGGAAAACTCTGAATTAGACAGGCCAATTACTGTCGCGGAATTGGAGTATGAGCTCGGGGTTATGAGGAAGGGCGCAGCACCCGGACCGGACTCCCTCACAGCGAAACTCCTCTACAACTTAGGGGAAGGGGACCTGAAAGAGCTGGTACGCCATTTCAACGAACATTTCTGGGAGCGCGGGCTTACTCCAGATAGTTGGAAGGTTGCTGACATTCGCTTCATTCCAAAACCCAAAAAGGAGCTCAAGCTAGAAAATCTGCGGCCGATTTCGCTTACATCTTGCCTGGGCAAGGCGTTCGAACGAGTCATAAACTCCAGGGTTATGAAATATCTAGACAAGGAACAACTCCTTCCGAACACGCAGTTCGGGTTCAGACCTCACACATCGACGCAGGACATACTCTTGTGGATATATAAGGATATACTGGAGAATCCGAGGAGCGGCCAAACGAGATGCCTTCTAGCTTTAGACTTGAAAGGCGCGTTTGATAATGTTTCGCACGAAAGCATACTTAGGGGTCTCAGCACAGTTAACTGCGGGAGAAGAACCTTCGAATATGTCCGCAGTTTCTTGACGGACAGGACAGCCACGTTGACGTTGGGAAGTATGCAATCTGGGACATACAGACTGGGTTCCAGGGGTACGCCGCAAGGGGCAGTACTTTCCCCGTTGCTGTTCAACCTTGCGCTGCGGGGTCTACCAGAAGCGCTGAGGGCGGTTCCGAACGTGGAGCATGCCATCTACGCGGATGACATCACCCTGTGGTGCAGGGAGGGCAGTGACGCGGAAATAGAAGAGAAGCTTCAGGCGGCGGCGGATATCGT